GGCGACCGTGTGCGAGGAGGGGCTTAGAGAGAGTAGATGTGGAGGTCACTGCCGGGAAGGAAAACAGATATCTCCAACTGCGAATGCGACCTCGCCCGTGCCCTGCGGAGCTGAGCTCCCTCCCTGACCAACAGCATAAACGTCCGCCTCCCCCTCCCCCACAAGTTTTGTCTCGATGTGATGTAGGCCCGGCGAGCAGGAAAACGAGAGGGAGGGGAGGCTGGGACCAAAAAATCATCGGAACGAAACAAAAGTTTGGGGCGAGCGCCTTTCTTTGCTCTGGCCGCGCCGCGCCCCGCCTTTGAAAGCATCGTGCACGGCGAGCTTTCGTTTTATCGACAAGTTTCGCCAACATTGGACATTAAGAGTCTCATCTCTGAGGCCGTCCCGGCTATGCTGGGGAGTTATACTCCTCCCCCCCCCTTTCTCACCCCCTCTTTTCTCCCTAACTCCCTTCACCGCCCTTACCCCGCAGACTGAGGCATCAATGGATAGCAGTCTGCCCCAAAAAAGGGGTTGAGAGAAGCTCAACCTCTCACCGAGAGGAGGGAGGGAGAGTTGGGGAGGGACGGAGGAGAAAAAAGTTATATTGAACAGTGTTTTCGCCTTCCTTTCATCCCGGCCCTGTTCTTCTAGTAAGAAAAATAGGCGGGGGAAAGGGGGGGGGGCTTTAAAGAGAGTGAAGTAAAAAGATTATGGTGACTTGAGTGATGTTTAATACCTCCCCCCTCTCTTCCTCCCTCCCAAGACCCCCGACCCCTTGCGCCTTCTAAAGACGACCGGCCAGACTCCATCATGCTTTTGAAGTTGGATATGATTCTCGCGGTCCTGTTTATACACAGTCTTATAATAAAAAAGGTTGTTTTTTTTTGTTTGTTTTTTTAATTGCACAAATGTGTGGCACAGAGTAGAACTCGCCCCGTCAGCGGCCGGCTCTGCGGCACTATGGCGTAGTGAATGGAATGTCGTGATTAGACCCTCCGGTGGAGGGAGAGAGGGGGAGGGGGAGGGCAGTGAGATTACGCCCCCCACCTCATCCCCACCCTCTTTCCACCTTCTGCTCACCTGCCATTAGAGTATCAGCAGCCCCGTCCTAATCAATCCGCCAGGCCACTAGTCTCGCCCACATCAAAAGCGTCCGCGTGATGCCCGGCGCGCGCTGCTGGCGCCCGGGAGTCCCCCTGGCCCTGCTGCAGCCCCGCGGGCGGAGGGCGCCGCCGCCCCCCACCAGGGCCGCGCGCGGCGCGCCGGCAGCGCAGCCACCAGTCGGGACCCGGCAGCGCGAGAGACACAACGACGGCGAGCACAGGGGAGCCCCAGCGGACCAGCGCGGCGCCGCTCAAGACGCGACGTGACCGCGACGTGTTCGTGACGTGTCAGTAACGTGCCAGTGACGTGCCTTTGCCAGTGTCACCGCCGCGGGTGTGTTTTTGTTACTGCTGTCCCACTTGCGAATAGCGTCCGATAAACACCCCTTCATGCTCGGTCAGGTGGCAAATGACCGGAAAATAATTTGGTGGTGACTGACGGTCGCGTGACTTTTCATTTCACCTGTGTTCGTGACGGGTTATTCGTGACTTGTGACCGTGTGCGGTGTTTGTTCGCGTTGTGTTGTGTGTGTGTGACGAGTGTGTGTCTGGTGCGGATGCTGATCGACATGTCGGGGCCGTGCCGATAACGTCGCCCCGCTTGTGACGCGCCCTAGAGGTGCCGGTAAGAAAGCTTTCACACGAAATGAAAAGATTAGTTGTTAGAGCGAATACATTGGCTAATTTTGGGACAGTCGAGAAATTCGCTGGGGCAGCTGAGAATTAGTAGTCAGAGACAAGAGTCAAGAGTTATTTCCTGCACCAAACCTGAATGCTTATTCGCATTCTCTCTGACAACTTATCTTTTTTTTGCCGTGAATCCTTGATATTTTCATTTTATCACAGTTTTTGTTTATTTCTTAAAATAGACAAAAATGTGACACGAAATGTAAATTACAATTTATTTTATTGTAAATTTAGGTGTAGTGGTGTGATTAGTTCAATTTTAACACAAAGACTTACATTTTTTTACCTTCTACCTACTGAAGGGAAGAATCCCCAGTTTCAGTAAAGTACTGTCGCCCACCCCCGCCCCCGGGCGTACCCCCGGCCCCGTCCCCAGACCCGCCCCCCGCACATGTGAGACGCGGCCCACGTTCGCGATGAGTGCTGCAGCCCGTCGGTCGTTTCCGGCTGGGAAGGACGCTGACTGAACGGAACGGGATGGAACGTAACGGGGGATGGAAGTGCTTCAGGGGAGCGGCTGCTGAGGGGGGCGGGGTGCGGAGGGGAAGGAGGAGGTGAAGGGAAGGGGTAGGCCGCCTCTTTGGATAGGCCCGTTTAATGACGGGGGCGGTGACATCACCGGAGATGGGGT